CTAAGGAGACATGTACCTGGGAAGGGGAGCCTCTCTCTCCTGTTTGGCCCACTTGATCCTTGTGGACAATTGAGCTTTTTTGGCCAGTGTCCTCTGCAATAGAGGTGGCCATTCCCTGGGTACTCTCGTTTCTTGGTTCCATGTGCAGTGCTGGGTTTTCCCCTGAGGCTTTAGAATAGTTCATCATTGGGTCTGCTAGGCTCCACCAGCCTTCAGCCTCATCCCTAGACTTACCTGGGTTCCCTGACCTCACTGTTACTGAAGCGGTCTGTCGTCGGAGAACCTTAACGCTCAAGGGGGATACCAGTTTGCTGTCGTCTGGGACCCCTGCTGTTAGATATGGCTTCCCTGGGAGTTGGACTATGTAGTCCTCATCTTGACCTCTCATATGGCGGGAGTTGTCACTAGGCATCAACTCTGCACCTCCAAGGTTCCACCCTTGGTTGCCCGTCGAACCAGAATTACTCCTAGCAGGGTACATATGCTCCAAAGGGGTATTTGCAGAGGTTTGCCTGTTCAGTACCGCTGGCATGAGGACTTGGCTGGTAGGGCTCACTGCCCTTTGCTGGGCAGGGGAAATCCCATCTACCCCATGGGTTGGCAATCTTGAGGGTTCCCTGCCTGCTTTTAAGTGAAAGCTTAGTGGCGAGGGTAGACATGAGGAGCCCTGTCAGTTCTGGGCTTCATTCCTAGTCATACCTGGACTCTTGATCTGTTGATTGGGAATCCTGTCAGGATTCTTGATCGAATGATTGAGAGTTGCTTCTGGATCCTCGATCAACTGATCGAGATCCATCTCGCACTGGTACGGCCTCAAGCTGCTAGTCAGGTCTGACCCTTTCATGCCCGACCCTCAATGGGTGGTGGCAATCCCCTGCTACACCATTTCTGTTTTGTGATTCCTTCATGGTATGAGATGAATGTGATGTATTGTTATAAGTATTTACAGATACAATATAAGCATGAATATTCATGTCATAAGGCACATCATGATAAACCCCAGCCGACGAAGTAGAATTGCAGAGTCCTATGCCAGCGTCTCTTTTATCTCCTCAACCGTTGTCAAGCTAGTAAGGTCTTCTTCCTCTATTTCTGCTAGGACAGCTCTGAGACAAGTTGCAAAAGTAGATGGTTTCTTTTTTGGGAATTCTAACCACTTTGACTTGTCGGGCAGGCACTTATTGTCCCATCCCTGATGTCTGGTGTGTCCACACTGGAAGCATTGCTTTTCTCTTCTGAGACGATCAATGTCCATAGGTTTGCCTTCACTGCCATAGGTGAATCTGATGGTGTCCCTTCTGCCCTTCGAGCCACTCAAGGAGCCCTCCACTGCCCTGGGCTTGGAGCCAGCAGTTTCACTGGGATACCTCCTGCTTTGTGCGATGTGAACTCGGTACTTCTCATCCATCTGCAGGACTCTGTGCCTCCACTCCCAGTAGGTGGTAGGCTGCATGTTATCTCCAGCCATAATGATCTGCTTGATATTAGGCCGTATTGTGAGGGTGATGACTTCCTCCATTTCCTCATCATTGTGGAAGTGTTCAGCTTCCACAGCCATTTGCTCAAATTTTTTGAAGAACTCAATGGCCATCTTGAACTGTGCCTGCTGCAGTTTCTTCCATAGCATCCGTTTGATTTGGACCTCTGCTACTTCCTTGAAATGTGTTCAGACGTTTTCTTGGAAGGTTGTCCAGGCAGGGACATGATGCCTTCTGCTGTGTGGATTTTTGTAATGTCGTTGTTGCAACTGCAGCCTACTTACGCATGGAATTTTGCAATCTAGCGTGTTTTACATGCACACAGAGATATAGTGAGCGAGCAGACTAAAACGACATGTCAACACTAATGCTACATGGTGCAATGATGTGGAATATAACTTATAGCATAAGAAGCGATGGGATTCTAAACAGGACTTAGTCACAGCACTGTACCTGATGGGCATGCATGATGAGAAGGCCAAACCCTATACCCAGTGCACTATGCTCTAACTTACAAGCATGCTCGCAGGAGTTGGATGACACTTCAAAGGTTGCATTAACATTGAAAGTATTTAGCGCGCTCACTAACTATGACGTGCTGTACCTGAAAATCCAGAGAAATCCTTATGCAAGATGACAGATATCACTGGCGTGAACTTGGACAGTGGGTTTTGGCCAAAGTCCGTGAGCCCACATTCCATTGTCCAGAGTCCCATTGTTCAAAGACTCACTTGTTGCCATGTCTATGATAAGCCTCTGTGAATCCAAGAAAGAAGTACTGAAGGACATATGTCAGAAGTGATAGTTCTGTATGCCTAGACCTGTCGGTCATCAGAGAACAAGCCTGCAGGTGTCAGGAGAGCACCTCTTGGCACGCATTTAGCAAGCTCACTATAGAAATGGGACTAAAACTGGGAAGTCCGACTCAGATGCTCAGTAAGGTGGTGGTGGCAATGTGCTATGCATGTAGGGGTCTGGGTACTGCATGACATTTGTAATTCTAAATTCCCTGTAGTATAAGTAGGATGGTTCCAGTAGATAGAAGCCAAGTTTTGAGCCCCCAAGTTCCCATGCATGCGTTGAAGGCAGTACTGTAACAAAGGATCAGTTTGTGACTTTAAGCTTTGCATAGAATTAGTAAGCTCACTCAGAGAAATATGAGATACCCTTTTGATAAGACTTTTGAGAACTTAGTCAGAGTGAATACAAATCAGTGATGCTGTTTCTGTTCTGTTAAGTGTGATAAGTCTGTTCAGAGAATGTGTTGAAGTGGAAATCTGAGTTCTGTTCTGTTCTGTTTCAGTCTGTTCCATGTCAGTTCTATTCAAAGTTCCATTTCTGAATCTGTTTCCAAGTGTATCTGAAGTGTTCTTGAGTCGAGATAACCTGCTGGAGTTAGTTGGAGAACCCCTACATACTGTTGTGTAGTGAGCGGGCTAAGTCAGTACTTGCCTGTGGTGTTTTTTTAGCGAGCTCACTATTGTTTCAATGTGTATTGTCTCTGTTTCTGTCGGGATCAGTATCTCTTGTGTATTTTAACTTGAATCTGCCTTGAAGGTTGCATTGCACCAGTGAATGACCTTTCTGTAAAAGTTCCTAGGCTTAGGAATTCATTAGAGAGAGCTTAGCTTTGCTAAGAGCATCGAGAATAAGTGAAACTCTTCGAGATATTGAAGTATAGTTGGATTGCATTAGAAATAATCGCTCTCCCTAGAACTTATGAGAGTGATTGTAGTTTGTATAGTTGTGTGAGTGTGTGTGTGAGTTTTTGAGGTTTGCCTTTTAGCCTGCTCACTATTCCACAGGTGCCCACAGCCAGCCTCTTCATCATTGTTGGTGGATCCACCAGTCTTTCACAGTTCCATCAAATAGTTGGGCTGCGAAGACTACTCAATTGGGACCATACCCATGTGTTTTGTTGAGTGCAAAGTACTGCGAGAAGGTCTCAAAGTAGTACTCACAGTCAGTGAAGAATCAATCTAGATCGCTGGCCTTCCCATAAAATTTGTCAGGGACTTGGATCAACATTGGATTCACATTTACCCAGAGGTTAGGTTGTCCATCAGCAATTTCCCAGCCACCTGGCAGATCAGGCAGTAAAGGGGGATTTGCAGGTCAGGGCAGTGATTAGAGATTTTGATCACTGTGGGGTGATGGTGGTTGTGCCAGGAGTCAAGGTGGTATGGGTGGGGATCCTCCCCCTCCACCTCTGCCTCCAGGTCCTCCTGGGCCACCACCACCTCCTCCTGGTGCAGCTGGTGCAGGTCCACCTCCACTTTCTGTCAGAGCAGAGTGGGAGAGGTCCCCACCCATGCTGCAGGTGTGGAAGGTTCCTCCCCCTTGTGCAGCATGGATTCCCAATGTATTGGATGGTACCCATGCTGGGTCATGGATTGGTCTTTCTGGACCCACTATTTTTGGGGATCCCAGGTCTGGGAAGGATGCCTCACCGTAACACCTTCCAGACACTATGGGTTGATTGGGGTGTATCACGTTCCAATCAATGACAGCATGATACTAGGTTTCAGTATAGAGGATGTCGTCCTCAAGTTTCAAGCCTAAGGATGCAGCATGATAGGCTCTTCCCTGTTCGGATGCAACCCAAGTCACGCTGTATCATAAGCGCTGACTTGTCCATTCCAACATTTGCTGCCATGTTAGATTATATATTTGTTGGTCCATAAGCTCCTGTGCTCGAACCCTCAATGAACTCAGGTGGTCTGTCAGAGAGTTCACAGTTGGGAGGCTCATGATAGCCTCTCTGCTGGTCGATGACCATTCCAGCTTGTGCCCAGGGATCAGACCTGTTGTCATGGTCGGATGGAAAACCGATGACCTGGTATTGGGAGAAAATTGTATGTCCTGCATACCAGGTCTCATTCCAGTCCCATATACCTGTGATGTACTCATAGTACTCATCCCAGATCTCTATGGCATCAGCTTGTCCAAAGATCCAGGGCCATAACCCTGGGGATGGGATGAATCCTCCTTCCAGACAGAGGAACAACTTGAGCTCTGAAGCACTCCTTGCCTAGGTTCAGAGCAAGCCTGCTCCATGCTGTGCTGGCAACCTCGCATGAGGGGCTTGCCACAAAGTGATTAGAAACCATAGGGTCATTCAATCTCACCTAGTTAATCAAACTCATGCCTTCCAGCCTTGATATATAGATACAATATGTATATAATAGTGTGAAGTATGCACTAGACCAATTTTTCCTGCAGTCATAGTCAATGCAGCACCCACAAATGCCTGGCTTTCCATGTCACAGGCCTGTTTGGACTGCTGACCTTCATAAAGTGATAGAAAAAAATGGAAGGATCCTGAAGGATAATCCTCTCAAAGGGAGCATATCTGGGATCCATTAAACACATTCTACTAATAAAAATGATACCAGATGAAGGTTGGCACTTTTAAATGACTGGTCAAGGATAAGATGGCTCTTTTTTGTTTCATGTCACTCTGCTCATCAAGAATGTCACAAATGTCTGAGACAAGGTACACTACCTGCTCAGTGACACTCCATGGCTAGTGCAGATTCCTTACAATATGACAATGACTTCTGGCAGGACAGACTTGGTCCTGCCTCACAATTCTCAACAGAAAAGAAGTGTCACCTTGTGTTCTTGCTCTTGATATTCTTGATGCTCAGTCTTGCCAATCTCCTTGAATTCATCTTCTCCAGCAAGCTCGTAATTGTCAAGCAAAGAGTTGGAAAATTTATGGCATATTCATTCATGGGTACCACAGATGATACACGGTTTCCTCCTGCAATGATCTTCTGGCTATGGCACGAAAACTACCCCAAGTCTCATCACTGGCTTCATGACATGGTAATCCTGAGATGTGCAAAGGAAATAGTACTGGAGGAGAGCAATAAACTCATCAATGATGGCAATCTTTGAATTAAGCTCAGTGATCTTACCATGGAAAAGATTCGGGAGCTTCTCAAGCTGGAGAGCATAGCAGCAAAGTATAAGGAGGCAGCTCCATTTCTCTGGGGCATTTTGCACACCTTTGCTGCATCTCCCAACTATTATAGACATCAGAATCTACCCCAAACAACAGGTGAGGAGACTGAGATTGTAACTGGAGAAGACTTCCAAGGCGTGGAAGATTTGAATGTAATGGATGACCCGCAAGAGGATCCTGAGAGAGGATCAGCCAGGTTTGCAGCATTACCACCAGGCTTTCTGTGGTCACCAGAATTTGTAAGTCTTCTAGTATAGTGCGAGGAGCACTAAGCATTGACTTACAATACATAAATAGGCCATTATCATGACAATATCCATGCTGATCTTCATCCGCAATTGTGCTACAAATATTTTGCCCATCATGCTCAGACTGTTCTTCAAAATTAATGGAACAAGCTCATGTGTTTTAACTATGCTGAGCAATGTCGGTGTATGCATATCTGAGGACACAGTTGAGCAGGTGAAAAAGAGACTTTCTGAGGATGCCATCAACCTTGCGGTCCAGGTCATGACCAGCGACAAGCTTTATGCTGTAATATTTGATAACATCAACACATATCTTCGAAAGTTCCAGCAAAGGGTTATGAACCACCACTCTATGATCAATGCAACGAATGCGGCTGTGATTGAGATTGATGAAGAAGGGATTGACAAGACGGCTGCCCAAGATTTGGATGCAAAGCTCAAGTGATGAGGCAATCACAAGCATGCAAAAGCAGACAACATACTTCCTACACAGGGGGATGGAAATCATATGCTCTCAGCGTTTGAGGCACACATTGCACAGCTTATAACACAATACTGTCCTGGCAATAAAAATTGGGACAAGCGCACCGAGATACTCACTGATGTTGGTAAAATGATGCCAGAGGATCATCCATTACAACTGAAGAAGACCAAGGCATATCCATTGGGTGTTTTTGACAAGAATGAGGGGTCTAAAAAAGGGATTGTCAGAGTCTTGACAGCTATTAAAGATTGGTCGACCTTGACTGCAATGAAATGGGCCTCAAAGGTTCACACGTTGCTTGGAGACTGGCTCACCTCAAACAATTTCCATAGTGCTTGTGCTCGAAGGGATCGCATGGATGATGTTAATGATATGGAGCGGCTAGCATATGGGCAAGAACTCAGTACTCTCTGGCATTATGCACTACAGGTGACACACATGATTATGCAGGTGCACTTTGGCTTTTCCACAGACCTGACATCCTTGGCTGCTCACAAAACCCTTCTTGGTCATTCATGGGATGTTAAAAAGCTAAATTATATGGCTGCAAAATCACTCATTCGACATTCATTGATAGCGAGACTCCTACACATGACAATGTGAGTATAATGGTCGCTTCTGTGTACATTGGTCAACTCACACTACCTTAGAATCTGTGTAGGCTTTTCAACTTGGACAGAACTTAGCGGTTGGCAATCTACAGCAGCAGACATCAAGAATATGGCCTATGAAATAAACCTTCAGTATGTCAGTCCAAAAAGCGCTGAAGAGGCACAAACTGCTGGTGATGATTGGCTTGCCTATAGTATCTACTTTGTCCAGAACAGCCTCTTATTCTGTGAATTTTTGGTGTCTAGCTCATCGAGGCTCTCATCAGCACAATTATGCACAAGAATGTGTTGAAGTCCTTCTCACATGGCAATATAAACTCAATGATGCTCTTCGTGCCACTCTGGAACGTGCTTGGTTCTACAATCAGTGGGGACTACCAGAAAGATTCATTGCAACAGATCTATACATGGAACAACTGAACTACTGGGTCAAAGTCAGTGATGATTCCATGTGCAAGGTGTCTGACTTACATTTTCACACCAGCGAGGCTTTATTGCACAGGGAAGTGGCATGATCATTCAATACATCATTGAGAAGGGTTCCACATGCGTTGAAGCATTTCATGATGTCAGTCATCAAGTCGCAAACTTTTTTGGGGATCCCAATCAAGCACACCGGTCCAAGGAGTCTTCATTCAAGGAAGATCTAAAAAGACTCATTGATGAGATGGTGAGGCTGAAGCTACATAACACTGATGAACTGGAGCAGCATCTGGTGCCTGCCACAGTCAGGACCTCAACAAGATCTAATAGGAAGGATAAGGAGAAGTCAGTGATTGTGGATGTTCAGGTTGCAGGAGCAGAAATTTGGAACGATGGAAAATTTGCAGACTTCCTAAAGAGGACAACATATGACCCCACCATAGGCTACCCAATCAGTGGTGGGGATAGTCACAATGCTGAAAGTTTGGATGATACAGACCCATTCATCACAGGAACTACTTCATTCGATGATCCTAACATCAATCCTCTGGTCCATGACTCATTCAATGACCTGCATGGTGATGAGGTAATAGGACTCAGTTCATTAGGTGGTGGTGGGGAGTACTACAATGGCCCAGAGGGTCTGAGCTGATGTCGCAGGGTGGAATTATGGACATAAGCTATAGGTGGTAGTGCTCATGATGGTGTAGCAGTAGTCAGCCAGAATTGAAACATATATCTTGGATCTGTAAGATGCGTGTATGGATTAAATAAAGGGAATGAGCTTCTGGGTGGAGTTGCAAATGTGGTTGGCAATGAGAGGTTCGGTTGCCATGAGAGAGGAGTCTTGGATTGGATGCTTGACCCTGCCAGAGCCTGATAGTTTGCAGAAGAAGCATGCAGTGGTGCTGGCCTTTTCTTTGGCAGCTGCCAGGGAATGGATGACTGTGGTGTTGGCAGTGGCATAACACTTTGATTATGGGGATGGGGGGTAGATGGATCCATGACAGAGCTTGAGCTTGCATAAGACATGAAGACATCTTCTGGATTGGTCTCCTGAACTGCGAGGAAGATATTAATACAACATTGAGCACAACAACATCCTAAGACTCACTACCAGTGAGCGGTTCATGTGGGCTTGCAGTAGAGGTGTTTGTCCTAAATACTGGCTGGGATAGTTTAGGACTTGGCTCAGTACAAATCTTTTTGTGTGTCCTCCACTGAGCCTTAGGCGTTGTCAATGCTGTTATTGCTCCCACTCGCCATGCTGCTATCACATCAGCAACCTCCTGAACATCTAGTGGCATGGCCAGGTCCCATCATACCACACTTAGGATCAGATCTGATGTAACTGTGGTGAACTGAAAATACTGATAAGCAGAAGCAACCAATGTCTCCAGTTGTTTTGGAGGCAATGCAATCTTGCTTGAAAGCATTGGAGTGCCTCGTTTCTGATGCTGCTCTTCCTGCCATCACACTGAGCTCTGGTGAAGACGATCAAGTTCTTCCCATGGCACATCTCTCTTCCCCTGCACTGCAACAATATCACTCGATTGGGATGTGTTTGAAGCATGAGAGTCAGGATGTGGTGCTAAGGCTGCTGACCCCAAAGAATAGACAAATTCCTTTGCAAAACAAGTAAGGCGTGCATCATCTGGCTCAGTGGGTCCAAACAGGACCACCAGGCTGGGATTGCAATGGCTACAGCATCATGTTTTCAGGGCATGTCTTCCGGGAAGATCCAGTACTATCTAGGTCATTTCAAAAGGCAATGACACAGTATGAGCACCTGCTTGTTGGGGAATTAGTGTCCCCTCCAGATCTTCACAGATAGTCAGTTGAGTTTGGGGCCAGAATGACTGCTGAAAAAACTCGTGTAAGCACTCTAAAGAGAATGTTAGTTGACTCAGCACCAAAATAAAGTTAAAAAGATACCTTTGGAATTTATATTGATGAATGCTTCAAGACACAGATCAAGCTTCACTCTGCATATAATGTTGTCCTTTAACTCAGCAGAGTTCTTGACCCTCTTCCCCTGAAGCTGCTGCACAATGGGAGCCAACATGGAATTCTCTGGTCATAATGACCATGGCAGTACTAGAAGGATGCAGACACCCTCAGTGACTCGATCCCATCCTGCACAACCCCAGCACTGAGCCACAGCTGCAAACGAATGTGGATAACCAAAAACAACACAAAATTTTATGTCGTCAATGCTACAGCCCATCTCAGCAGCATCTGTCACCACAACAATTCAGAAATCCCCAGTAGTAAACTTATCCCAGCATTGCTGTTTTGCCTCCTCTGACAAGTCAGATGAAAATGCATGCACGCAGGTGCAGAGGTGTTTGGGTAGGCATTTATGTAGGGACTGTACCAAGGAATGGCATCCTGCTTCGGAGTCAAGGTACAGCAATGTCTTAGGAAGGTCTTCACGATGAGTGTCAGGGCCGAGATCAGGCAGTAATATATTGAGAATATCAAGAACAGGATTGTCAGAATATTGCTGAAGGTGTGTGAGATAAAGAAGATTGTGGCGATCGGTCCCAACATCGATGCTCCAGAATGGACGATGGCCATAACCCAACGATGACCATATCATGTCAAACATAGTGGTCTGACATGTCGCAGTATATGCAACAAATGGAATATCTGACCCAGTGAAGCCATGCAAGGCCTTGCCCAGCTTTCAATACATTGGACAGAATGCATCATCCCCCCACTTGTCTACGCAATGAGCCTTGTCTACCACAATTGCGATCAGACATGCCTGAAACTTGGAATCCTTCCATAGCTTCATGAAACTGTCTGACAGTGTCATCTCAGGAGAGAGATAGACCATCTGAGCTGTTGTCCAGACCTGCACCCAGAGTTTTGCAGTCTTGTAAGTGTCTTCATTGATGGCGAATGCATCTAGGCCTTTCTGTGTTGCTTGTTTGACCTATGATATATCCTCCATGAAAGGAATACCCATAATCAACCACAAGAACATACCTGGTCCTGCTCAAGAGCCTTAAGTGGGGATATCACCATCACCAGCTTCCCTTTCCCTCCCAAAGCCACCAAACCTTCGAAAATCAAACTCTTGCCATAGCCAGTACCTGCACAGAAGATACTGTCATATCCCTGCAGTATTCTGCATATGAGATGAGCCTGCCAATCGTCCGGATGATACAACAGCTTGAACCTCTGCTTGAGACGTGATTTGATGGCATCTACGTTGAGATTCTTCGGCATTTTTGTCTTTATGCCCTGTAAATGATTTGTTTGAGGGTATTTGCGATGTTGAGGTGTCCCCGGGATCCTAGATAGGGTGGAAGATGGATTGAGGTGCTGAGGCCAGGGTGGGGTGGTAGGAGACATTGATGTGATGTGTTGCTGAGCTTGAAGCAAACAAAGAAACCAGGAAAATCAGAGCTAGAAATGTTTTTTGAGCTCCAAGCATTGTGTTTCAGGCTGAAATTTGGGACTTACCATGTGGTGAAAGGAGTAAGAGCCTTGTGAACAAAGAGTGGTTGTCCAGCAGTTTGGACCAAGCTTCCAAGCATGTTATCTTGATAATTACTTGAAATTGGGATATAAAAAGTGTGTGATATTATGCATTAAGCTAAGATGGAGAGCTTTCACACTCAGACTGAGATACAAGGAGTGTCAGGGAAGGTGGTGGAGGCTTGACGACAACCCCTTTGATCATGTCACTCTGCAGCAAGCCCCTTCGTGACAGCTCACCTGAAAATATCCACAACAAATATAAACAGAGCTAAAGTGAAAGGGGCTTGAAATGAACCTACTCCTTGTCCTGTCATACTCATCATCGGCCAGGGACCAGAGTCTTCAGCAGATGGTGCAGTTACAATAGGGATATGGATGGGGCTCGGTGCAGTCAAGTTTCTCGGAAACACAGTTCGGGAGGATGATAGGATCTGGAAGGGGTTGGTTTCCAGCAAACCAATCGAGGAGTTGGTCTCCTCTGAGGGTATCACCTGGGAAGACAACCCAATGGTCTTCGACATAGGGGGATATGGAGCAGGTGTTGTAGTCTGGGAGGTCCTCACTATTGTTGTCTGAGTACTCAGTGAATGTGACATAGTTGGGTCCATTGCCAACTGCATGGCTGGTGGATGGTTCAGAGATGTGGGCAAAATGAGGCTCAGCAAAGTTTCTGAGATCAGCAATGGTGATGAAGTTCAGGAGAAGAACTTCAGATTCGGGTCAGGGGGAGGGCCAGATGAAGTCCAACTCATGGATGGAGTTGTTGTCCCATCAGGAGGGAGGTCCAGTGACTCTGTAGGTTCCATCGGGGGTACGGGATTTGAAGGAGGTTGGGGCTGTACTCCAGTCTGGCTCCAACGATTTATCTCCTCAATGTCCCTCTGCTGGTCCCTCACTATCTGTTGTGCTATCTATTGTTCATACATCTTGTCTGTTTCCTCATCCCTGGGTAGGAAGGAACAGGTCTTCGACTTCTTCGAAGGTGGTTCCTTGCCCCCATGCTCTATCTGTCATCCTCCAGTAGTTTCCTCTGGTTCTTGCACTCATGATTCGATTGAATACATCAATGTAGAACCTTGAGGTTCCTCTCTGATAGAGGTGCTCCCTATCATTGTCATATTATGGGACAGTGGCTGATAACTCTGTGGAGCTGATTGATGGCTTCTTGGAGTTGTCATTGTTGTCCCATATTGCGGCATCCCAGGACGTCCCAGGATGTCTCCATGTCAGTCTAGTACTTGATTGTGAACTGGGGGTCTCCTGAGAAGCCTCCTTGGCCTGAGTGTGACAGACCTGAGCCTGACAGTACTCCCTGTTCAGGATGTTCCTGTTGATGAGCCATTGAGTCCATGTACTCTCTCTCTTCTGGGGGTCAGTGCTCTTTGGTGTCTGGTTGGTCAGGTGAAATGGATAACTGCAATTGGTTAGTACTATCAAGGTACTGAAGGTACTTCCAAAGATGATAGCAGTGCAGTCTAAGGGGGTGAGCAGCATAAAGTTCATTGTACCACAACAAATGTTTATGATCTTGAGGTATAGTGGATGCCATTTTACAAATAACAGGCTGAAGTTTGAAAGTATAACAGTGACTGCCTTGATGCAATACAGTTACTGTTAACAACAATAAGGGTAGTAAGGGCAAGCTTCAGCTAAATGTTAAGCACTAACTCTAATCTGAACCAAAGCATGACCTCTATCCTGACACTCATGTTCAGTGATTCAGTATTAGAGGGTCTTTGGCAGATTGCAAGAAGTTAGGTGTCACTTAGATAGTGAGAGCAAGGAGCTTGTAAGAGTTAGGAGTGTATAACCTTAGCTGAAGCTGGGGTCTAAGGCCACAGCATAGGCTAGCTTAAATACATGTCTGACTCATACTAAGAATAGTGTCTATGGGGGCACATGCAATAAGAAGGGTGCTCTACAGCAAATAAGGAGTGAGGACACTAAAAGAAGTGGGCCTCTGACAAATGAGAGTAAAGAGCACATATCACCTGTATCAATGTGGGACTCTGTCTGAATAGACCATATCCCATAGACTGCCCTCAACTAGCGGTCAACTCTTGTCTAACCACTAAGAAGCATGATGCTATTATAAGAAGTATAATGGTACATGCAGAATGTTGGTCATCTGGAATATGGCAGCTGTGAATTGGGGTGACGGCAACTGGGTAAACAGGTAGGAGGTATGCTGGTGGAATATCCTGGGTCTGAGAGATAAGATAGGTCAGTCCAGGTTTTCAGGAGATAAGAATAAGATGAGATAAGGAAAATAGGGGTAAAACCATAATACTTCCTGACACTCTCAAACTCCTCAAATGCGACCACAAACATTCTTTTAAAGAGCCAGTATCAGAGCACAAGAGCGAGTTCAAATTCAATTATGAGAACATCACTTGTTTCCTCATTCTGATTGATGATAAAGCCACGTTTGATTCAGACCCATCAGCATAATACAGTTTTTTTAATATTTATTTTGATATATGCTTATTTTCTCTTCATAGATATATGGAGGCTGTCATCAAAGGTGATGTCAGCAATGAATGGTGGTGTCTACCACTATTTCTCTTCAATGAGAACCTTGTTCAATCAGATAAGCCAACAGCTGGAATATTTCAAGGCTACGTTCTCGTTCGTGTGAGTTTTTAATACTCTATGCAATGCTCTCTTTTGTTTTGAAATAGGTATCAGTTTTTTTGCCACATATTCCTTGGGAACAGTCTTCCCAAATAGCAAGGCAAGACCAATGGCCATGATACAGTCACAACAAGGCATGGGATGACAGTGGTAACAGGTCATCATATCGCCTATGCAGCAACCCAGATATGTTCTATAATGATCTTCATTGCATGTTTGACATGACATCTAGGCTTGATACTGCATAGGGACAGCTGATAAATGGCAGCAGTTTGATGGAGGCTTTGACTTATGGCAGTTTTTCTGGTCTATTGTGGACTTTTTTGAGAGTGAAGACAAGGATGACAGTGCTGAGGAGATCCTGAGCTGGTGGAACAAGTATGTGTTTATTTTCTATCTGTATTGATCTAACATGATCTACTAGGGAGGTTTTTTCAACACGCAACACAATGAAAGCCAAAGAGGAGAAGTCTTCAGCCCCTCCACCAACAAGTCGCTATGCTATCATCCAGCAAGAGCATCATGAGGCAAAGAAGCTTTGCTATGCAGCAAAGGTGCAAGAAGACCACCCATTGGATCAAGCAATGCTCTCTCATACCACACCCCTTCCTCAACGTTGTTCACCTTCTCAATAACAGCCCTCACCAGTCTCTCCTCAGCAGTCTCCTCTGAGTCCATCATCGCCTCAGAATCAACATCCTGCATGGCCTCAGTCTCAGCACCATTCATGTTCTCATTCACCTCAACTGTATCAGCAGGAGCATGCTTATTCATCTCAACACCATCAATGTGAACACTATCAAACAGTGTACTCTTGTTCTCCTATCCAATCTCATTGCCATATTAGGGATGATTTAGAAACTTATTCACCTGACCCTAGGCCTCACTCTCACTCTCATCTCTCTAGTTCTCATGATGATGAATCAGAGCTATCGCAGTCTCCTGATTCTTCAGTAGCTCACATGACACTTCATCACCTTCAGCATCATCAAGAAGACTTCCACAACCAGCCCTCAGCTTTGACCTCACATGCATCACATTCCACTCAAGATGAGCAGCAGTTCTCAAACTTGCAAGTCACCCCTCAAACTACACTAGTGCCAAATCAATCAAGGCAGAAGTGATCACTAGTAGCAGTCAAGTCTAGAGCTCCTGCAAAGAAGCATAAGAGACATAAGTAGATGTGCTTCTCTGGTTGGATACTTGCTCTGTGGTCTATGTTTTTTGTGGCTTGCTTGTCTTCTTCACTCTTTGTTTGCTTTTCATTGCTTTGCTCACTTTCAGGGTCTGCCTGAATAAGGATGTTGTATTAGATTAGAAATGATAATGTGGATATTACATTTTATGATTTATATAGTATTGAGAGACCAAATACAAAGAGTAAATTTGCTACTAGCAATATGATAAAGTCCTCCAGGACTTACCAGAACTGTCAAGCATCACCAGGCCTGGCCAGGTCCACCTCACAAGAGTTGTCTGACCAAGTGATACAAGGGCTTGTCCAGAGAAGGCAGTACCATGACCGGGACCTGGTTATAAATTGCACTCCGAGGTCAGGCCTAGTCAGGGCGACCTCAGAGATGAGTCCATGGTAGGACATGCATGTCCTGGCTTTGCTCAGTTAATGCTGGTCCAGGATCAACAATATTCCAACACTTTTAGTGATGCAGCCCGAGCTTTTTGTACAGAATCAGAGCTAGAGGAAGACAGTCAGTGTATGTACTATATGTCACTGTTGTTGTTGCTCATCATATTTTGTGTTGTCTAAATGATATTGGTGATGCCTCTTTGCTCTTGCCTTGCAAGTTGGCTGATACATTGAGTCAGCTTCTTGAGTACGTTCCTTCTTTCCAGAATTATTCACATCTCATGTTATCCTTTAGCTCCTCCACCAGAGAGAGTTCTCCTGAAGTGGACTCTGAGGCTCCTCCTCAGCCTGTGTTAAGACTTGAGTTGGTATCTTGGTATGTTCATCTTGGTTAATGCTTGACACGTACTTATCCTACTCAGTATTATTCCTACAGTTATTGCTTTGGGTACTTCCAAGCCTGAAGATGAATCCATGTGGGTTATACAGCCTCCTATTATGGAGACTTATCTCATGCAGCTGCACATATATAATAATATGCCACTTCTTGGATGCTTAATTATTGTCTTGATGTGCTTCCATGTGTGCTGACTTAAATATAGGCCTTTCAGATCAGTAGTCCCTATCAGATTGGATCCCAATACCTATG